TTCCCCCTAGCATCTAAGCGATTCTCGTTCTTGAGTTTGACGGTGGTGGAGTTTTGAGGAAGCCCATTCGGCTTCGCGGGGCTTTGAGTTTTGGGTTTCGGGCTTGGGGTTGAGGGCTTGGGGGAGGTTTTTGAGGCGTCCAATGTTGTTCCAGAGTCGCCAGCGCAGACTCTAAGCGCTTCGTCAGCTTAGGCTTGTCATGGCGAACACCATCACCAGCTTCATCTGCAGCCTGCAGACAATCGTTTCAAAGAGGGAGAGGGATCTGCTCATTGACAAGGAGCTTAGCTCCGTAAAGCCGCTCTGGAACCCACCCGTCCGAATTTCGGACTGCGGATTAGGCTTTTGGGGTTTTGGGTGCTTGGGTTTGGGGTTTAGGATGCAGCGTTCAGGGTTTAAGCGTTGTTCACGCGTTTCAGCTCACGTCTTGGGATATACGGTGGAGGGTCTGGGGCCAGTTTAGGGATCAGGTGTGGGAGCTCGGAACGCTAAGTTTTGAAGCTGAAACTTAACTTAAGCCAACAAGGCCCCTGGAGCCTGAAAGCGCGGGAACCTGAAGCCCTAAACATATTCGTCACTAGAATCCTTCCAGAGAGCTACTGCAAGCTTTCTGGCCTGAGCCTGAGGTTTTATTATGTTTTGGGGAAGTTTCCCTAGCTAAGGGGTTCATAGGTGGGCTCACAGCACGTTGCAGTGTTTTACAGCTTTTTCAGCGGGTCTAAGGTTAGGGAACTTAGCTTAAGCTACCATCGCAGTGAACCATGTTTTCCTTGTTCTCATAACCCATTTGGGTTTCCCAATCAGAGCAGTTTAGGGTTTAGGGGTCAAGTTGTCGAAGAGTCTTAGAGGAGCTGGAATACAACGAGAAGATCGTTGGTCAGCTTTACAAAACCTTCCATGAGCTTGATACGAACGGCAACGGCGCTGTCAGCTGGACGGAGTTCCAGCTGGCTCTGCAGGATCTTCGACTGCTTCGGGTTCGTGGGTTCTCTTGATTTTCGGGGGCTGGAGTATAAATCTAGTGGATGCTCGTGCTCGGATCTGCAAATTTGGGTTTGGGGTCTGGGTCTAGGGCGTAAATGCGGAAACTTGGCATGACAGCAGGAGTCTGTGCTAGAGTGGAGGGAGATGCAAATCGTGGTGTTTGGTTGGTGGCGACAAGAGTGGACAGAATCCTGCTCAAAGCCTGAATCTAAAATTACTTGCAGTTCTAGCAGAGACACTGGTAGTGCCGTGTAAACCCGTTGTGGGGTAGATGCGTTAACGGAGATGCTGTCAAGTTGATCATCGTCAAGACATCGAGGTGTTCCTCCCTTCCTAACATTATCACCCCTTTCCGGTATCCTCAAACCTTGAAACTGTATTGTCCCTACCGGAACATGGCAGCAAAGCATCTCCAACTGCCTCGTGGAACCATAGGCATTGAGAGTTTGCTCAAGGTTGTAGACCAACGCCACCCGACTCCCAGGGCAGGGTCGGACTACACTGCTAAGGCAAAGTGCTTTCAATTGGCATAGGATGGGGATGATCTGGATTGGCCACCCGGTGCCCCTACCTGCTTTTCTTGAGATGCTGTCTGTCTCTCTGTGTCTATGTGTGTGGATGCTGTTTGCCAGCAGGGTTTAGGGTTGAGGACTTCGGACATGAGCATGTTAAGGGTTGCTGAGCTGTTTGAGGACGAGCGGATGCACGCGTTCTTGAGCACCTTGGAGCTGGACATGTCAGATGCGAAGAAGATTTTCCACATCCTCGCCTCAGAGCAGTTGCTATGCCGTTCTGGAGGGTCGTTTCCAGTTTGAGTAGAGTAGAGGATAGTAGTGTATTGTCTAGTATATGTCCTTGAGATGCAGCCGAAAGCTAAAGGTTTTTCTGGGCCTCCAAGAACAGCCCAGGACAAACGCCATCGAGGAGTCCGACTTCTTGCTGGGCTGCCTGCGCATGCGAGGAGGTGCCAGCGGTGTTGATATGGTCAGGATCCAGATGGAGCAGGAGTGTTGGGGCCAGCGCTTCCCAGTCAGCCCAACACGCTTTACTCATTAACGTACCGTGTACCACCACGATAA